ACACAGTCCCCCTCACACAGTGGGCCCACAGGACACAGTCCCCCTCACACAGTGGGTCCACAGAACACAGTCCCCCTCACACAGTGGGCCCACAGATCACAGTCCCACACACAGTGAGTCCACAGAATACAGTCCCACACACACACAGTGAGCCCACAGGACAATCCCCCTCACACAGTGGACCCAAAGAACACAGTACTACACACAGTAGGTCCACAGAACAGTTCCCCTCACACAGCGGGCCCACAGAACACAGTCCCAAGCACTCAGTGGGCCCACAGAACTGTCCCCTCACATGGTGGTCACATAGAACAGTCCCCCGGTACAGTGGGTGGTCCTGGAGAACATCCCCACACAGTAGGTGGTCCCACAGAACACCCTATGCAGGTGGACACTGGGGAGGAAGCCAGAACATGGCATCTCACGTACCCACGCTCCTCCAAGCTCTGGCCACTAGGCACCCGGTAAATGTCATAGCTGCTCTCCCGGGGGGAGTCTGGAAGAGAAGAGCCCGTCGTGTTTTGAGCACGCCAGTTCCCTGGATCCCCGAGCCTTTGCTTTTGGGTACGGCCGAGGAGGGTGGGGTTGGTTTACGTGACCACTGGGCTCGGCACTGGGGCCCAGCCATTTGGTCAGGCACTGGTTCAGATGGTGGCGTGGGTGCATTTCCACATGTTCAGCATCATGGTCAGTTGATCTCTGAAAAGGCAGATCACCTTTAACCGTGTGGGTGGGCCTGGTGCAATCAGTGGAAGGCCTCCGGAGCAAAGAGGCCTCTGGAAGGAAGAGTTCTCCCTCCACACTCACAAGGACACTCGGCCACTGTCCAGCTGCCGCCTGCTCTGGCCCTTACAAACACGTGAGCCAAACCCCAGAATTACCCTCTCTGTGTGCATGTGAATTGGCTGTGATTTTATACATATAAGGGCTCAGGGGGAATTGTGCTGCCAATCCAAGGCATGAATTCATGAGCTGCTCCACAGGAGAAAGACGGGCAGCCTCCTCCCCATGTACTGCCCTCTGAAAACCCCTGGAGGGCCACCATGAGTCAGTTCTAACTGTCCAGTACACAACTAGATAGATAGATAGATAGATAGATAGATAGATAGATAGATAGATAGATAACAGACAGATAGATGATAGATAGATAGACAGATAGCTAGATAGATATGTCTTGTTGTTGTTGTTATGTGCCATCGAGTCGCTTGCAACTCATAGCGACCCTATGTACAACAGCCCTAAACACTGTTCTATCCTGTGCCAACCCAGCCATCTCAAACGCACTTATTCCCACCACTCCAGTCACAGAATTGATCGATCTCATCGAGGTCTTCCTCTCCTGGGCCTCCCCTCCACTCTGCCAAGCATGATGTCCCTCTCCAAAGACCAGGCCCTCCTTGCAACATGCCCAAAGTATGTCAGACGAACCTTCAGAATCCTTGACCCCAAGGAGCATTCCGGCTTCACCGGACAAAGCTGTTTATTCTCCTAACACTCTTCTCCAGTACCACAGCGCAAAGGCATCAAGTCTCTATCATCCCTATTCACTGTCCAACTTTCTGATGCATAGCACATAATTGAGAAGACTATAGCCCAGATCAGGTGCACCTTAGTCCCCAGAGTGCGGAAGATCACGTGCAGAACTGTGCCGCCTTGCCGTCCCAGATAGATAGAGATATATAAATATATAGATTAGA